CTCACCCATGGATACTGAAAACATAATTTTGTTTGTAAAGGAGTGAATAAAAAGACTTTGGGAAATGTATTTTGATGAGCCATCCTGAGACTATTTACCCAAAACCTTGGCTAAGAGATTGAATTTTAACCATTTTTTAATTTGCTGTTGTCTGTTTGTGTTTTCAGTTTTTTACTCTGTTGCCCAGTCTGGATGGAGTACAGTGACATGATCACGGCTCACAGCAGCCTCCAACTCCTGGGCTCAAGTGATCCTCCTGCCTTAGCCTCCTAAGTCGCTGGGACTACAGGCATGCACTACCATGCCTGGCTAATTTTTTAATGTTTGATAGAGACGAGGTCTGGCTGTGTTTCCTAGACTGTTCTCAAACTCCTGGGCTCAAGCACTCCTTCTGCCTCAGCCTCCCAAAGTGCTAGAATTATAGGCGTGAGCCACCACACCTGGCCAGAGTAACCATATTTTAACATGAGGTCATATCAGTGACAACTTGCCCTAAATGTTGCTTTATATATAACACACTGGAGATAGTTTGTTCTTAAGAACTAGGAATCTATGAAAACTACATTTTAATTTTTGTCTAGCTTATTTATGTTAAGGATAAAGGGGAATTAGTGAGGATTATAGTTACAAGGGAAGAGAGATGGCTTGGTATTCAGTTTTCTGAGAAAAATAGGCATCCGGTATCCACTGGGGAACATCACAGATTACACAGGCCTCGGAGAAGGCACAGGCAGGGTAGAGAAAGTTGCAGGGAGGGGGTTGACTCACAGCTCCATGGGCTGCCGCAGTCTGGTGCTTGTCAGGCAGGAGGGGAAGGGCCAGAATGCTGGTCATCGCATGTGCAGCCCTACTCCAGAGCTGCCGGATCCCATCTCTAGATAGAGAACATTTGTTTAGTTATTTCTGAGTCAGGGTCTCACTCTGTCCCCAGGCTGGAGTGCGGTGGCACAATCATGGCTACTGCAGCCATGACCTCCAGGCTCAGGCAAGCCTCCCAAGTAGCTGGGACATCAGGGGTGTGCCACCACTCCTGGCTTATTTTTTTTTTTTTTTTGTAGAGATGAGAACTTTATGTTGTCCAGGCTGGTCTTGAACTCCTGGACTCAAGCAATGCTCTCACCTCAGCCTCCCAAAGTGCTGGGATCACAGGCATGAGCCACTGTGCCTGACTGAGTATTTGAAAAGCTCTCCAGAGCTGGGTGTGGTGACTCACGTCTATAATCCCAGCACTTTGGGAAGCAAAAGCGAGAGGATTGCCTGATCCCAGGGGTTCAAGACCAGACCAACCTGGGCAACATGACAAGACCTCGTCTCTACAATAAGTCACACACACACAAAAAAGGCTAGGCATGGTGGCTCGCGCCTATAATCCCAGCACTTTGGGAGGCCGAAGTGAGAGAGAGGATTTCCTGAGCCCTTGGGTTCAAGGCCAGCCTAGGCAACTAAGGGAGATGTCATCTCTACAATAAGTCAAAAAGATTAACTGGGCGTGGTGGCGCATGCCAGTATTTCCAGCTACTTGGAAGGCTGCGGCGGAAGGATCACCTGCGTCCAGCAGGTTGGGACTGCAGTGGCCATGAGCAGCATGCCACTGCACTCTAGCCTGGGCGACAGAGTGAGATGCCAACTCAAAAAAGAAAAAAAGAAAATTAGCTAGGCGTGGTGGCATGTGCCTGTGGTTCCAACCACTTGGAAGACTGAAAAAAAAAATTAGCTGGACGTGGTGGCGTGTGCCTATGGTCTCAGCCCCTTGGAAGGCTGAGGCGGAAGGATCGCTGTGGTGGCCATGAGCGTGCCACTGTACTCCATCCTGGGCGACAGTGAGACTCCAACTCAAAGAAAAGAAAAGAAAAGTTCTCCAGGTGACTTTGGCATCGGGCGGTGCCAGCCGCTTTGCAGGAGTAAACAGTTTGCCGAGGAGAGGACACTTAGCACCTTGTGCAACCTCCTCCTCTTGCCACCATTGTCACTGAGAGTTTCTGGAACTGGCAGAAAGCTAAAGGCAGTGTCCCCTTCCCCAAGCCGGCCCCCGGGGAGTTAAATTTCTCCCCTTCACCACGCAAAGATGGGAGTGCCCAGCGACCCAGGGCTGACCAGAAGACAGACTTGCCTCCCCTGTCTCTCTGGTCGCCGCCCTGTCCTAGCCTTCCAGCCTCCAGCCGCTCAGTGACCTCAGCCTCTCCTGACTCCTCACACCAGAGGCCATGGGCCCCTTCCCTATGGATCCACTTTCCTGGTGATCTCATCCCAGCTCCTGGCTTTACACACAATCCCCGTGCTGGCAACTCCCGCTTGTGACCTCCAGGTGAGGCTTCTCCCCGAAGACCAGCCCCAGGGCTCTGCTGTCCTGGGCACCACTCTGTTGCATCACCATGGCTTCGGCCTCCTGGGCTCAGGCGATTCTTCTGCCTCAGCTTCCCAAGGAGCTGGGACTACCAGTGTGTGCCACCACACCCAGCTGATTTTTTTATTTTTGGTAGAGACCAAGTCTTGCTACATTGCCCAGGATGGTCTCGGACTCCTGGGCTCCAGTGATCCTCTCGCCTTGGCCTCCCAAAGTGCTGAAATCACAAGCATGAGCCACCGTACTCAGCTTATATTTTTAAATAAGGTAGTCAGGGTAGGCCTTGCTGAGAAAATAGCGTTGAAGCAAGATCAGAGGGAGGTGAGGAATGGAATCATGTGGTTTTCTGGGGGAACAGCATTCTGGGTAGAGGGAACAGACACTGAAAAGATCCTAAGGCAGGAATATGTCTTGCATCTTTTTTTTTTTTTCAGTTGGAGTCTCACTCGGTTGCCCAGACTGGAGTGCAGTGGCC